AGCGTCCCTAGAGCTGTTCAGTTGATGAGCGGAGCAACATGACTGTAACTCCGTTATGCTGCAACTTGCAGGGATGATTGTCGAGTAGTTTGGGAGCCCTCAGCTTCTGCTTCCGAATGAGACCAAAATCTTTTCCGAAAAACTCCGGTTTGATGTAGTTACATAAGTGGAATTCGGCAAAGAATATGCCGAAAACTGGGAACTGGAGCAAGAGTATAATCCACACAGGTTAGATCCAAGAGTTGGGAAGCACTGAGTAGAGCTCGTCGAACTGGTTCGAACAAGCGCACACACAATGTTGTGTGCGGAGAATTAGAGTGGCCACAGACGGCAAAGCGAGAGCTGAGTTAAAGTGTGGCAGTACGGTGAGTACTTCGGCATTGTGAATAATCCGAAAACAAGATGGCGGCAAATTGACGGAGAAAATCGCGACAGCAAGATCGTCGAAACCAAGCAATGAAAACACAAGTATTTCTGGTCAGGAATCGCAGAATCAGAAATGAAACTGAATTGTATTTAAATTTCCACGAAATATTTCCAATGAACCAAGAAATCCAACACAAAGTGATCTTGTCAACACGGCCAAAACTAATCGACCGGAGGCCACTATCAGCAGATTACTACCAAATGTTGTGTATTCTACCTACGACCTCAAATGCTTCACACCTACAAGCTGGGCGACCATGATCTGCAGCACTGTTCCCGGAAAAACATCTCGGTGTACCAATCCAAGAAGACCTCAGTTGCTTGGGGAAAGCTGCACTAACATCCAAAAAGATCATCCGAAAATTGGAGCTATCAAAGAGAGCTTTCGGGCACTGACCAACCTATTTTCCCACAGCTGCTCTCTGCATACATACCCCACACGCGGAATATTCAATTCAAGCATGGTCTTGCAAATTCCCTAACGTGGGCTACCGAAAACAAACAGCGACTGCATATTTTTAGAGTTGTTAGTGCACGCTATCGGCATTTGCATGGTAATCTCATCATGGTTAAGCAAATTTTAAGCTGCCCTAATCACTCGTGCTACCAGCTGCTGAAATGCAGCCATAAAATAGACTGAGAAGCCACCGTCTCAGACTGGCATTACACGGTAGCGAACTAGAGCGTAGACGGGATTTCCCCTCGTTACCTGTTTACCACATATGCATTTCACTACAGGAACCGGTTATTTCAGCCATTACATTAACTGTGTTTAAAGATCAGGTCCACAACGCGCTAGTCGCGTTACACCAAAGTCGTAAAAACCAACACCCGTTTCTCTTGAAAATCAAAAGCGGTGATATTTTAAGCTGCATATGTGAACGATTTATTAGACAGCCAAAAGTTTCTCTGCAAGTTCACTGTTTTCGGTCGCTCTCTGTTTATGGTTGTTATTCCTTTTCTTTTGAAAATCCAAACGCGCCATCCTGTGGGATATGTTAAGCCTAAACGCTTTTATTCGCAAGAAACCACTACCCATTGAGCATGCTATTATTCTTAATTGCACAATATCAACTGATTGTAATCTAATCCTTTTTCTATGAAACAGTGCAAGTATGATAGCTGTTTCGGTGTGTGCGTGCCTGTAGAACGAAGCGATTAAAACAGCCGACGACCTAACATCAGATTTGAAAGGAATTTGCAGGGCTGCAAGCAAACATCAACCAGATGCTCTATCCATCCGTAAACTTGGTGAATATTTCTTTCCACCCGGGAGCTGTTCTGTCTATCTTGATCAGATTTGGCGTGTGCGATTCGTATGGGGCCAAATAGTTGGAATATGCTTATCTTCCGCCCTACATACAGCTATAAGTGAGGAACCGCCACCTAGGTGAGGTTTAATCGACTAAAGTGAAAAGTTGGGTTGAGCACATTGTTGACACTCCGCTGTGTTGGTTATCGTTCCCTTCTTCACCTTATTGACAGATTTGATATGAGATTAAACGGTAGCTCGCACTGCGCCACTAAGCGAGAGAGACAGAGTCTGGTCGAAATAGTCTGAGACGGCAACGAAATGAGGTTACGGATCTGTTCCTGCAGAGAGCGTTTCGGAACGTTCGCTCCACCCATCCGTGTTCACGTGTCCCATCGATTCGAACGGACATCTCGCCTGTTCGCTCAAGCCCTTTGTGTGAGACCGTTTTGACTACAATCACAACGGGCTCGCTCAAGGCAGGGGGTGTGACCACGTGTTACGGTTATGTTTACTGCAGCGACCGCGTTGTCCGGATCTGTGCTGACTTCCTTTTACCTTCATATTCCAGGCTATGGGATTTGCTAACAAGCACCTGCTTCCGCCCCCCTCGTTGTCCAATGCTGCTGCGCACCTAGACGAGCGGATGGTTGAAGTCCGTGTAGCAAGACATCAACTGCCGATGATTTCAGTTTGACCACGCGTGTGTCTACCGTATTGCGTAGGTCCAGCTTAAGTGTTACCAATTTTGTTACCTCCCTCTCCAAACCGCGATGACTAAATGCCCTAGCTGTGACTACGTTAAACATCCAAAGCGGCATATGGTTCGAATGCTATTGCCTGATATTTTTTGACGACTCAGGGAGTCGTGGAAGCAAATTTCGTGACTAAGTGATTATAGTTTTTGCGCTACGGATGCAGGCTGCTGCACTGGGGATTCAAGCGCATGCTTTTAAGAATGCGAACAATTATGAGCCGTTATAATCGTTTAGCAAGTGCTGCCTGTTGTCCAAGCTGTAACCAAATGAGCACGTTGAGGCAAGTCAGTCTTAGTGAGGATCGAGGACTCCAAAAAGAAACGGATGAAGTCACTTTGTCTGCTTGGTCTGACATGTACTTGTCGGCTGTACTAGAGCTGCGCCATGTGATTACGTGTGAATTGAAACTAGAAGGCAAGTGACTATTGAAGAAACTCGGGAGAGGACCAAGAATTGAGCGATTGTATACAGGGGGTAAAGGTGAATTTGTGTCGAAACGACAAGGATGAAGAAATGCGCGAAGGGGGATAGGAAGACGAGAAAGCTTGAGTATTGAAATCCAAATCCCTATCCACGAAGCTCGTTGCAGCAGATAGGGCGCTGTTGATTATTTTCTGCGACGACCAGAGCATCAATAAATCGTGTACATATTGGTTCATGGAGTTGTATTGCGCAGGCAGTATACTGTCTGTTTGCTCAGGTTTGGACAGGAGAACGATTAGGGTACTCAACCGAAGCTTTTGATTCAACAACCCTACCGAAAGGCGGCGGGGCTTTGGCACTGGGCTACAGAGAGTCATTTTTATGGAGCAAGGAGCCACCCTCACTCCAACACACAACCTGGAGGGCCAGTGAGACTGTGTTTGTCTGGCTTGTAACCATTGATCAACCTGGAATGAATGGCTCTGAAGGTGCAAAGAGCACCATCCAGCATACCTCAATGGATCATTGAGGAACACAAACGATGGTACTGTGTTAAGGTCCAGGTACAGAACCGATGGCTGCTGTTAAAGCCCATACGGGATTTGTGGGGAACACCGAATGCCTAGGTGACCACAATCTGCTGGGAACTAGCTAGAAATTGGGTGTTACCCACCCGGAAACTCTGGGCGGGCAGCATCCAATTTCCATCCGCTTCAGTTACCGTTCTGATGATCGAATTGTCCACGGTTCAATTCAAGGAGAATCACAGTGTACAATGAGGTGGCGCGTCGCAATCCATTTACACAACGATTACTTCAAGATGACCCTCCAGTCAGATGTGAATTGCTTGTAATGGGTTCGAACTCTGCGAATTCTGATGAGTTTCCGGGTTATTACTGCAACGTCTGTTGTCGCTTACACGTCATGATCGCCTGCTCAGGTCGAGGAAGATAGAAACCAACCACGGTGTTCATTGCCATATTATATGCATCTCTTGACTCCACGATTACAGTCTGGGTCAAAGTGTTAGATCATAGTAAAGCACATTACATGTAGAATGGAAGCACCGGTGAAGATCTTCACTGCCGCATGCTTGCTAGTTTGGTTTTCTTTTCCATACTAAAAAAGACTGCGTGTTACTTCTTCGATGCCTCGTTCCCATGAAATGCAACCGTACCCTACGTCGATCGGCCAATCGATTAGGTAACTCACCTATCCAACTTATGACATTAACTGGAACTGGAGGCATCGATGTATGGCTGCGGATAATGGCTGAAGATACGACTTTGTGGAAGTCTCGAGTTACTGACCCACCGGTTATTGAGTTGACGAAGTGATGGATCTGCGACGCAGTCCCAGTACTTTCTCACGCTAGATTAACAGAACAAAGTACTGTGAAAAGCACAGAACCCGCGCTTTAAAAGGACTACGAAAGCACTTGGTGCATGCAGAGGGATCACGTATATACCAACTTGGCATATTTCTACTGAGAACCTGTTGAATGAATGGTGAGATGATTAAGACTGGGCTCCGCACGACAGACTACTACTTTCCTGATGGTCCCAACAGTATCTGATGCGTAAGGTGTAGCACAAGTACAGCAATACAAGAGGTGTACTTTTGTAACGTGAAGAACTAACCAAGACACCATTATTCTTTCACACAACAGTCTCCCCAAAGTACGGCTTAGCAACATATAGAAAGACTTCCTGCGAACATCTGCTATGAATATCGCTACGGCGACTTTATAATCCTGCTCCAGACAGAAAGAAGACAGAACTGGGTCACGAACACAAAAATATTAAGTGGATTCTTAGAAATATGTGAATTGGATCAGCTGTTCAGTCGCTCGGAGTGTCCGCGAAATTCCAAATATTTCAGTGCGTGCACACCGTGTTCTCGTGCCAGATTTCTGATGTAATCCAACTTTAACCGATCCACACAAGAACTGTCGAAAGGAAAGCACAGGAAGATGAAACGAATGATTAACCAACGGTGTCGGAACGAGAAACAGCAAAAAGTCTGCCTGGAGAAACATTTGCTACCAACGTGATGCGACAGAGAATATGGATTAGGCATCAACTGTTCCTACGGCGTTGCTAGTATGAGCTAACAATCGTGACATCCACTTGGCAACTCACCGATATAACACATTCGTCCGATATCGTAAAACTTCGATGCTGGGGGGATGAGGAAGATGCAGTAGAAAGACACCAGGTAACACTGTGAACCTATAATGTTGCACGTCTAGAGCCATAAAGAAGGAGGCTTTATTCCAACCGAATCCAGCGAAAGTTTCGTCGAACCTGACTGCGTTTCGTTGAATCATGACGTATGGTTCGTAGTCTGCAGACCAATTCACCTGCAGTGGGTTAGCAAACATTGAAACTTGTAAGTGATGACTCACAGTGAGTGCATTTGCGTAGTGGCCCTGCGTTATCTCACTATTTGCTCCCAGACAGCCCAGCCAAATACGAAACCGAAGTTACGCACTGCAAATGATCCACTCTTTGTGATTCGGTATGCGAAGCTTTCAAACATTCCAATCGTGCAGGCTATTATAATCGAAATAAGTTGTGTGGCATTCACCTTGTCCCTCGCTAGAAGACGATCTGAGAATGGGATTGGGTTAAAAAAATAATGAGTCCGACTTATATGCTTTCGCTTATAAGCTCCCCCCCCCATAGAGTAGTCACCGCTTCTAGTGAAACGCGACCATAGCGCCCTTAGGGCGTTTTGAACCCCAATGATCAAGATGATACCGATACTGTCCATGAAAGAAAAATGAAACAATGATGTTGCCTGATAAAAGGTCGAATGGAGGTGTCACCACAACCGCTTACTGTTCGTTATATTTAATCTGTAGAAGTTAAACATGTGGGTTTGAGTCCTTCATCTTTGCGGATCCGATCGTGAAGGACGGTGGCGATAATTCGCCAATTCACAACTGTAGCTATGTCATGGTCCTAGTTAAACTGTGTGGTGTGTGTATTTTCTTATCCAGACGTAGGATTAACAAACTTCTTTTCCTTTTTCAAACTTGCATCTACCTAAATTTTAAAACTCTTAGTTGTATGTTCCACACTAGACATTTAACTGTCTTTTGCATCCCTCAAACTTCCACCTTGACTTGTTCGATTTTATAAAATCAAAATTTGACACTTTAGTTACTGAGTGACTACTGTAGCTAGTGTCTTTCACTGGGACAGCTAGGGGCATGAAAACAGTCGCTCAATCTAACATATGCAAATCGGTCACTCGTATTATACCAGAACCTAAATCTAAGAGCAAGAATTTAAATGGAAGAAGTTCCTGGAGTTCCTGTGCTACGTTAAACGGTGACAGGACAATGAATGCAGTTTCCAACGCCGTCGATGCTTCTTCGTCTTGCCCACACATCCCTGTTTCTCGTCCACACTATTTGTTCTGTTCGATTTCGTGCTGTCTGCTGTCCCGTTTAACACGAGCCCTTACTAAGTGATTTGATATCAGCATACAACCGCTGACACCGGCAGTGTTCCACCAGACTCTAGTACAATTGGCTACAAAAAGGGACTTTTATAAAATTATTGGTGTGAAAAGACATTTAACTGACATTTAGAATGTGTGTATCAGTCTTATGCATTAACTGGTCTTCAAGTTACCGAGAACTCTTTAGCTTTATTTTAAGGAACGATTTCTGAGATTTCGTATACAAAGGATAAATATTTGTTTTCGGCTGTAATTTCCAACTGTTTGCTGAGGTAGTGCAGCATATATTCGTATTAAGCGGTTGCAGTCATATACCCTGATATCTTTTACGTTGGAGGCGGTACTCTTCACAAAATAACGACCGACTTCATGTAATGGTCACATCCACAGAATTTAGTTTATTCTTTGACCCTGACCTGTCCAGGTGTTGTGACACTGAAAAACAATTTAGATTTCTGTTTTGACATTTGCTATCCTTACAAGACTCTCTCCGTTCGCGCAGACAGGTTTTACTCCCTCAACTGAAGCGACTGCGCAGACTTAACGAGCAGCCATGTAAACATAAAGATGGCAGCTCAGTGTGAGCTCTCATTATTTGTACCAAGGAGTAGCTACACCGTCTTAACCAAGCACATATCCGAGCAATGCTTGGGAACGGTAGCTGTCGCGAATTCTACAGGATGCTGAAATAGCTTACTGGAATTATTCAACGTTCGCCCCTATTTTTCGCTGGATGTAAAAAAATCAAACCAAGTGTTCTGTAACTGCAACTCTAATATATCGCCAGAGCATTCCTTTACCTAAGTTCTAGGATCTGTAGACTCATTGTCTCCTGTCAACTCACAACAGTTGACTGAAACACCTACGTTCCGGTAAAGCTGGTGGGCTCGACAGACTATCCCCCATCATATTAAAGAATGTGCTGAATTTTTGTCAACGCCTCCAGCATCTGTATACACAAAGTTATGGAATTAATCATCGCAGATGCGCTGATGCAGTATCAGGAAAACAACAGCTTAATAGCCCCGGAGCAACATGTGTTCTGTCAAAAGCACTCATGTACTATCAACCTATTAATTGCACGCAAAAACTGGAATGAAGTATTTAATAGTAGATCAGACGTCAGTGTAATAAAGCTAGACTTTTCAAACGAATTTTATCGCTTAAACCACCGATTTCCTCTTCACAAACTTTAGAACTACGACATTGACGACCCAATCCTGCGTTGAGTAAACAACTGTCTACACGAACGCCGGTTGGAAGTGAGAGCCCAGGGATCTATGTCCGAGGTAATTGGTGTGAAGCGCGGTGTACCACAAAGTTCGGTGATAGGGCCTCGTCTATTTTTGGTTTTCATAAATGATTTCGCGTGGTCAATTGCCTCAGGTTTCCTATTATTTTCAGATGATATCAAAATATGGCAACAATGATCTAAGGACCGAACGACCACGAAGAGTTCTAGTGTGATCTTAACACGATTTCGAACTGGTCAGTGCAGAATGACCTACCATCCAATATAGACCAGTGTTGCGTTGTTCAACTACGACATAGACATGACTAAACTTGTTGCCATTAGGGATACAGGTTATAGCCGAGCTCCCAGGAGGTCGGCTTAAATGTGCTGTTACGGATTGACTTCAACTGTTTAAAGCAGCCTGAGGCAGATACAGAAAGAGGCAACCAGCACGTCAGCCTGCTGCGCTCTCACGTTGACCAGACAAGGGAAGCGTTCGTTTGCAACGACGGTCTTCAATAGAACTGATTCTACGTAGCCGCAAAAGAGGTAAACAGAACTGTGCACGCCTACTTAGAAGAGGCATTAGTCAAGAATTTTGTGGCCTTCCGTTCCAACCCCGCTGTGGTAGTCTAAGTCAACTACGATATAAGAGATAAATCAACCTGATTGATTCACTCTGGTTTTCCCAAACATGCAGAGCAATCACAATAATCAAATGCCTAACATCGCTCGTGAAAAGTGCAAAAGACTGACCGAAACAGTCCAGCAGATGGCGAGCTTCAGGGCTTTGCCATTAGCATCTAACAACACTGGTCTTGTTCTACAGCAAATCCCTCAAAGCTTTGTCTCTAAATCGAAGGCTAAAGTCGCTCTTACTAACCGCCCAACGGCATCTGCGCGACTTACTCCGGCAATTATTAACCTTTTAAGTGGGCAAGCCACATCCGGCATGACTGCCATTAACACATCCTTGGATGGCATATCTCACGAGGTGGTCACAACACCGGTAGTTCAGAGTCGGGTAACATACGCTTTGCTCGCCTCGATAAAAGCGCCCAGTGACACGCGTAGGTACATTTTCTGAACCAAGCACGAGCGATGCGACGGCCTTTGTACAACGTTCATTAGTGCTGGCCAAACAATCCAAGTTACCGGGCGTAACACTCAAGCCGACATTCGCTAAACAGAACCACAGTGCATAAACGGTCGTGTGCACTAATGTTCCTGAGTCCAGATCTGGCACAAAAATGAGCAAGTTGGTAGATGATGGTACCAAATGGAATTCCATCTGCGATGCGATTAGTATTCGGGATGACCCAACTGCGTTACTGCACGTAGAGCTTCACGCAAATTCAGTGCACTACAGCCAACCCTGATTTATTCGAGTAACCTTGAACTCACCTGTGGAGACAGAGCCCATTCTGCTCTCAGCAGTTTAGCTTCGCAAATCATCGAGCGGGTTCCAATTCCGCAGGATGTGGCGGGTGCGCGCTACTGACGAGTCCCAATAGAACGAAACGACTGTCTAGCGTTTTCCTGGATGGATGGTGGCTGTCTGTCTGTGTCTAACTGCGACGAATCTACACAAAATCCTAATAAATCCCCCTACTGCTTACAAATAATCAGTAGTCGCCTTAGCAGCATACTTGCCACCTCGATTGGTAGCGGCTTGCAAAGGAAGTCGTTGCTCTGGGGGCCAGCCCTGTCCTCTGCACATTCTTCACATGCAAGACAGTGGAGGATGAGCCGCGCTATACCGCAGTTAGATATCAGTCATGGTGGTCCGCTGCCGTCGCCCATGGCTCAGTGACATAAGTCGCTGACTCGCAAGAGTAAGGTCGTGGGTACGAATCCGGCAGGATTCGGCGGGTGCGCACTACTGACGACTCCCAATAGGACGAAACGGCCGTCTAGCGCTTTCCTAGATAGGTGGTGGCTGTCTGTGTGTGTCTAGCTGTGACGAAACTACACAAAAACCTAATAAACCCCCTACTACTTACAAACAGGAGGTGGTTTCCAGTTACCCTCCGTACAACCACGTGAACACTCCCACCAGATTTCGAACTGATAACAAGTCGTCGATACTTGATGTTGTGCTCATCAACGAAGAATTCATGGTCGACGGAATAATTACAACCATACCATTGGGTCGCAGTGACCATGCGACTCTGCCGTTTAACTATATATGTTTTACTGAATATCCTGAGGAAATGGATGATAAAGTGCGTACGGTCACGCACTACAACGTGACATCCCCAGAGATATCCTAGAACGCTTTCACAAGAACATTTAACACACCGGAAACACACGCGTCTGAGCAGAAATCCTTCAATCCTCAAAAGAGAAGGAAGTCATCTCTGAGGAGCAGAACACGTAAATGCATGTTCTTGAGGGACTTGGAATAGAGTGCTCACAAGGAATCCCCGCTTTCCGAAAACTGGACTGTCCATGTGGCACAGCATAAATCCTGTGTGAGCTTGACCCGAGAGGACAGGGTAACGCATCAGCAAGAGTTAATTAAGAAGTTATGCAACAACCGCAAACACTTCTACAGGCTTGTTAACGGCCTTCATAAGGTGCAACGCGGAATTCTTGTACTGATCAAGACTGACAGGTACACGCGATCAGCAACGGAAGCAGCCGATCTCTTACGGTTCCATTAATCACAAACGTTC